AACCAGATTGTGGAACAATAGCTCCGCTTGTACAGCAGCCCCTTTCCCTAGCCCCCTAGCTCTCCAGGGAGCAGAGGGGGAGGGGAGAGCCTGGATATGGGAGAGTCCCAGAGGACTCAAGGAATTAAGAAAGACAGAGGCAAGGGTGACAGAGGCTTGGCCAGGGCACTGCTTCTTGCTCCCTGGGAGACCTGAGGTTCATTAAACTGCTGGGTTGGAAACATTCCCAGGTAGAGAACACCGGCTGTCAGAATAGGAAGGGTATTCTCCATTGCCCAATCCAGACTCCAGTTACAGCCAAGCCCATGGACCCAAAGATTGGACTCTGGATGTTCCCCCAGGAGAGTCTACGCCACAGTGTACATGCAGACGGGGCAGAGTGATAGAGGTGACCACGTCTGCCTTGTTCAGAGGTCTAATGTTCACAATGGACAGGGCCTGAAAGGCCACCCAAAATCAGGACCTTTTCAACCACGGAGCCCTCCACAACCTCCCTCAGGGGCCTTAGAGAAAGCCACAGCTCAGCACCGGACCTTACCTCCATCGTAACTGCCACCCTCGCATGACTTTATTTCAGCATTTTTTGAGACAAGGTCTCATGTAGCCCAAACTGGGTTCAAACTCATTGTGTAGCCAAGGATGGCTTTGAATCCCTGATCCTTTAGGCTCAGGTGTATGATATCAAACTCAGTTTTACTCTACTTGCTTGTTTTGTTTTTTTCAGACCCAGGATCCCCCTGTGTGAACCTAGCTGGCCTATAACTTGCTATGTAAATGAGGCTGGCCTTGAATTTGTGGGGATACCCCTCCTTCTGCTTCCCAAGGACAGGTTTGAGTCACCACACCCAGGGACATTTAATTACTAACTTTGTTTTCAATACCACAACACATGTTCTGGTGATTAGAAGCCATGAGAAGACTGTCCCAGTCATAAGGGAGTAGCCTAGTCTTCATAGGAGGCCATGGGGCAGAGACTTATTCTAGGGATACTACTGTCTAGCCAATGTTCCACTATACCCATACCCTGCAGGTCAAGAAAAGATCCTATTCTCCCTGTCCAGTCAGTGAGTTTGAGGGTCAGCAGGAGCTTGGACCTAGTTCTCATACCCAAGTTCAGAGTTTATTCCAGATCCTACCCATTGGCCTCCTAGATACCTCCACCCTGTCCAGTTCTGTGTTAGAAAACAAAGAGATACCCCCACAGAAGGTCCCTGTAGATATGAAGGAGGTCTAGAGGAGGGCAGTTTTGTTCTACTGATAAATAAGCAGCATGCAGTCTGAGGCACATGCTTGATCCCTCTTCTCACAGCAAGGTGTGGGCAGGCTGGAGAGTGTGACGGGACCCTGTCTGGGCAAGCTGACTCTCTTATGACCAACATGGACCATGGACAACATGCTTAACCTTTAGCTGCCTCAGTGGCCTCATTTGTAAGCAGGAAAACATTCTTTGCTGTGCCCATCTCAAAGCTCCCTCCCCTCTTCCCTTGTCCTCATCCTTGGCTCTCCCTGTGGGTTCCCTCCCCACCTCTAGTTAAGCTCGACCTTTCTTTCTCCTCCTTCATTCCCTTCAGTGCACCAAATGAGAGGATCCATATTGGGCACAAGACACCCAAGACCAAGTTCTCAGCACAAAGGAGATTATTTGCCCCACAGGGACAGAGGGCAGGGGATAAGACACAAAAGTGGGCGATAGAGGACAGGGATAAGGGAAAGGGACCAAGGGCAGGGGAAGGCATGCTTGTCCCAGAGGGACAAAGGACTGCCTGGATAGAGAGGAGACAGACCTGGCACATAGGGAAGTGGCAGTTTATGAGGACAAAAGGGGAAACCCTGTGTTAGGATGAGGGGTTTAATTTTGATTGGGCGTCTTAATTAGGGAAGCCAAAAGGGGCCCTTTGATAGCTGGACCTTGGCGGTCAGTCTCAGAAGGAGGAGGAAGTGGCCAAATAAAGGAATGGACATTATTTTCTAGCTTTAGGAATGTAATCTAATGGTTTTTAGCAAGGCAGAGGGGATGGGGGAAGGGCAAGGCCTGACACAGCCATGTCTGCCATACTCCGGCTAGCTAGAGTCCCTCCACCAAAGGTTCTGTGACTCCAGCCAAATCTCTCCCCAGAGCTGTCAATGACCTCTGGCCCGGTAACATCTCTTGATACTTAACTATACTTGAAGACCTTAAAATACAAGGCAGGCAGAGACCTAACATGTGACCTCAAGTCAAGGTAGCTATAATTACTATTTGCAAGTTGACCTTGATGCCATTTCAATAAGCATAAACACTCATTTGAAAAGAGCAAAGCTCTCTTCCATGCATGGAAGGGGAAATGGAAGTTCTTCCTCAAGTTCTGGGGTTACAGAGTCAGCCACCACACCAGTCACAGCAAGCTAGTCATCCTAGGCACCGGTTCCTGAACTTGGTCTCCAAGTCTCCTAGTTAATTAATTAGTACTTCAGCGATTACTTCTGTTGACAGCCTTGGTGATTTTTGGCAAGGTTGGGTCAACTCAAGCAAGTCCAGACTCATATGGCGAATTCCCCTGGCTTCTGGGATGTGAGACATGATCCCTGTACTGCAAAAGCAGCACCTCGTTAGAATTAATTGAGAGGGTGAAGGAAGGAGTGAGGGCCTCCCAACCAATTGGCTGATGGTGCCTTGGGTTGCAGACAGGCCTTGAATACTATAATATCTGGGTTGGCCTGAACCCTGCTGGGGAAGGCACAGCTGAGCAGGGAGTTCTAAAGAGCATGTTACTGCCCTCCCTTCTGAAGGACAAAGACCTCATACAATTCCTCCCAACCTATAAGAGGTTTGGGTTGTGGTAAGACAAATTAGGCTAGACATCCAGAAGCACTAATGCCCACATTTATTTTAGCAGGCAAGGGGGACAGAAGATTCTGGTCCTTGAGTAGAGAGCCTCTTGAAGCAACTGACTAGACCCCTCTCTGTACTGGGGTATGACCTCCAGAGTGTCCCCTCATATCAACACTGGCTTCTGCGACTGAGGACTGGTTCCATCCATGGCTATTCTCAGCCCGGTTTTCCAACAAAGCCTGGAAGATGATACATGGGGATGACACTTTCCAGCTAGGACAGCTTCTGATCTGGTGACCTGGGTCTCTGTGTTGGATCCTCTCTCCACAGGCAGAGATTCCAGCACAATGGTGCCCCAGAGACCTCAGAGTAACCCCTGCCCCATCTCCAGGGCTTATAGGTGCCTACAGCCCTGGGCTCCATTGGGGATTCCCAGACTCAGCTTTCCTAGGGTTGGAAGAGACCTGAGGGCACAAGGAACTGCAGGCCAGGTTTCCAACCTTGAGTGTCCCAAACTTCAAGGCTTAGGAGAGATAGTGACTCCAGCTTCTACACTAAGGCCTTGGGCTTCACTAAACCCCTGTTGCCACTTTGCCACAGGAACCCTGGCTTTCCCTCCATCCTCCATTTGGGCAACTGCTTGATGCAGGGCCTGTCCTAAAATCACTCATTCAGAAGTGGCCCTCTCTAGCCACAGTCTCAGCTGCTCTAAGCAGAGGTTGTTCTTTGCTTCTAACTTGTCATCACCTGTGCTCTCCATCGACAACTGCATCTGCTATCTGCGCCCCTGCTCCACCTGTGCCATGAACACAGGGCTCGCCCCTGCCAAGGCTGGTCCCTTGCTCTATGCACTAGTCCTTTTGTCTCTTCATGGACTTTGCCTCTCCCCTGAAATCCTTTGTTCTCTCCTGGTGTTTCCATTTTGCATGCATACAGGATTTCTTCCCCTCCATTTTCAAAAACAAATAAAAGCTCTAGAGGTCTGTTGCAGCTCCCCACCACCAAGCCACACACTCCACCAATGGGGATACGGTTTGCTTTTATAGTTAAGGACAAGGGGCACTCTCTAACCTCAGTGAGCCTGCCTCAGCCCTTGCCTGGTGGCCTCCATCCTGTCCCTGTGGCCGGAGACACTGGTCCACAGGCTCCTCCCACCCACAGGTCTGACTGACTCAACTCTCTGCCCTGCCTCAACCCTCCCCTCTTCGCATCTCCATCTTGTGACAACATGACTACATCTTCCTTCTGGTTTCAAAACCAGAAAGCCAGGCAAACACCCTGCAGGCTCCCTTCTCCTCCCACCACACGCAGTTCTTCACGAAAATCCCGAGGAAGCGGCTGCCCCACCCTCACAATGGCCCCACTTCTCAATGCCCACTGCCAACAGCCTGGTCCAAGACGCCATCATCTCTCACTGGACGCCCGCCACAGCTTCCTGATGGTTGCCTCTCCAGAGCTCCAACTCAGCTTCAAGAAGCAGCCATGGAGACCATCCGTTCACAATCAAGAATTCTTTGTGCAACCCTTTGGATGCCATCTCCCCTGCTTCAGCCTCCAAGTTCCCAGTACCACTCGGGACCTCCGGCTTTACCTGCCTTACCTCATCTCTCCCCACTATTGCTCACGGGACAGACTTCATTCAGGTATCAAATGTCACGCGCTGACTTACCTCAGAACCCTGACCCTATCCTGAGTGTCCCCAAAGCCCCTGCTCAGTGGGCCAACTCCAATCCAGCTTCCAGGCCCCAGGGAAGCCCCTCTGCCCTTCAGGTTTGCTCTGCTACCTCAATTTCTACCACCCTAGCCTTCCTTGAACTTTATTTGCTACTCTACAAAACCCTCATGTTGCTGCTTGAGAAAGGTCTAAGCCTGGGCCAGTCTCATTCCTTGTTTTCCTTTATTTATGTATTATCGTTATTATTTAAGAAAAATCTCACTCTGTAGCTTAGGCTGTTCTCCAACGACTTTGTAGCTCAGGTTGGCCTGAGACTCACAGCAGTCCTCCTGCCTCATTTCCTCCACCCCACACAGACATCACCTAAAAAGTTGGGATTACAGACATGAACCGTCACACCTGGCTTCCTTCATGGTTCTCACCACAGAGCCTGGCTCAATACTGGCAGTCAGTACCAGTTAAGTCTTTGTTAATAAACGACTCCTCCCTGCCCTGCCCTTTATCCCCACTGACCTCTGACATCTGCGGGAAAAGGCTGATGGCCAGTGGCAGGGCCAGGCCGAAGGCTGCCAGGCACACGAGGCTCTGCACAGGCAGGAGTAGGCGCGGGCGTGCCTGCAAGAGAGCTGTCCTGTGGAGAGAAGGAGGGTCACTCACATGAGGTGCATGGCCTGGGCTGGGTGCCTATGAGCTGCCAAGCTGGGCCCCATGCTCCCTCAGGGCCCGGGGAAGCAGGTCCTACAGCCCAGTGCTTCTCTAGCTAAGTAGAAAAGTGGGCACTCACTATCTTTGGGGATTTCACTAGTTACTTTCTCCACACCCAGCTATGAAGAACACGCCTGGACCCAGCAAGGAACCCTCGGCCACTTAAATTATAATCAAATTCTTACAGTGGGACACCCATCTAGACCTGGGGCAGCGGGGAGCAGAAGAGACTGTCACCCTGGCTCCTGGAGAAACATGTAAGCATGTGAGATGGCCTTTAGATGTACTCAACAGCAGGGAAACTCCAGTATGTGCCATCCAGGGAGAAGACACAGAATACACTTGTGGGTAAACACACATGTGCATACCCAAACGCATGCACTTGATCAGGGAGAGGAACTGAAGACATCCCATTGACTGCCTCTTTCATTCAAGAGCCATGGGAAGAGCAGACACGGCTAAGGGTAACTCTCCAGGCAGCTGCCCGGAGGACTCTTGTGGTAACTATTACCCTGAGCTGCTCCTAGCCCCTCCACTCCCTAGGGCAGATTTTGGGGGGGAGTGATTTCTGAACAGGAGAGAAGTGTGAAAAACCTCCCTTCAAGTGTGCAGAGTTTGAATGAGTTCTTTGGACGGAGTGGGGACCACCCCAGCTGACGAGCACCTACCTATTCACCACACTTAACAGAAAACACTATTTGGCAAGATCTATGGCATTCTACCCATGAAGACCTGGCAATTCCAGCAGGATGAATACCTGGATCATCTGCCAGAGATATCAAGTGGGCAGTAAACCTGACCTCAGTGGCCACAGCAGTGACCTCACATGGCCAGCCCCAGTGACAGATTATAAACAGGATCTTACCCCTCCCTAACTGGAGCAGCCTGGGCCCAGTCTTAGAGGAGAGGCCCTTGCTGTACACAGTCTAGATCTTAAGTGTCTTCAAATTGCCACACATTAAAGGTTTGAAACTAAGAGCTAGGGTCCAGGGGGAGGTCTTCGGTTCACTGAGGTGGGTGCCCTTCAGAAGCATAAAGAATTTCCAGTCCCTCTCATACTCCCTTTTTCACTCTATAAAGGAACCAGGTTGCTCTGCCACCTATTCATGCCGTGTTGGTCACCTATTCACGCCGTGTTGGCCTGTAGCCCCAGGGCTAACGCTGGATGTCAGAGAGCCAAAATAAATGTTTTCTAAGTTATCTCAGATATTTGTTCCAATTAAGGGGAAACTGACTAACTGACCCTCCCTTTGGGTCAGGGTCCCAGTGTTGGGGACAGGCAAACCCCTTCACCCTTCCCTTCTGGGGCAAACTCAAGAATACGTGGCCCCCAGCAGGCAGCACAATTGAGAGGCAGTTCTCAGACCTGTAGTGCATACTGGAATGTTCTAGTTAAAAGTGTCAATTCCCAGGGGCTCTTGATTCCATGGGACCCTCCTTCAGCTGGCATTAGACCCAGGAACTGGCATTCATGAAGCTACAGATCACACTTTGGAGAGGCGGCTGCCTTTCCATGTTCGCACTCAGGTGTTACCAGGACCCAACTGCTTATCCACTCTAGGCAAATCCAAAGGTCAGCCAGCTCAGCAGCAGGTAGGTGTGCAGCATCTTAGCTGGTACTGCCGTTATCTGCACAGAGGATGGGAATCCTGGCAGGTGGATTCTCCTCTTGCCCTCTTGACTGGCCTGGACTCCACGCTTTTTGTGGATGCTGGATAAAGGCTAAAGGCTACGTGCAATTACTGGGGGTTGGGGTAGGGGGTCTTCCAAGGAATAAGAGGAGCAAGACAAAGGTGCTGAAACCAAGCTCAACTCCCAGAGGAACAGCATCTCATTATCCCTCCAGTCTATGTTAGCCCAAGGCCTCACAGGCTTCCCCTGGAGTCACAGGGGTTGGAATGAGGCCAAGACCAGTCCTGTGAAGCTTGCAGCTCTGGCCAACCTCTCATGTCTGGGACTCACTCAGGGCTGTCTTCTTGGTTCTGTAGCAATTCTCAGTGGGTGGGTGTAGGGTTCCTGGAGGCAGAGCCCTAAGGGTCACCTAGAGCAGGGAAGGGAGACAGGTCCTCTAGGACTTCCTGGAAGTAATGTTGGACAAACTCCCATCCATGGAGGTTGTGACCTTGACTTCTCTCAAGGGAAGCTGGCTTAAGTTCTTTGCTGGCAAGTGGGTCCAGGGAGCCCCAGGGCTGCAACCTTTGGGGAAGCCTGGGGAGTCTGTTCCAGAGCCCCCAAGAGAAAACACAGCAGGAAGGGGGAGGGGAGAAGAGGGAAATGGCAGGCAGGGATTGGAAAGGCAGCTGGGGGAGTTAAAATATGCAGATGGAGAGATGTGCGAATGCCTGGAAAAAGGAAAGACCCGGATCACAGGCAGCTAAGGAGCTGGGGGAGCGGACTCAGGGATCCACCATGGGTGGGGCCAGGACCTCCAGCCAGCTTCCACCCACCCAGGTACACTCCTCCAATGTATCCTGAGCCAGGGTTGCAGGACTTGGGGAGAAACTATAGCCCTTCTGTCCCTACATTGGCACCTGTCTCCGCAATGATGGATTACATCTGTGGGCCCCCCAGCCCTGGATCTGAACCCAGCTTGCTGGCTGATAGGGGCTTCAGGGAAGGTATGGAGTATGGGGTCTGGGTAGGGGAGGAGAGAGGATGCTTCCAGCATATGTGGAGGTCCCTCTACTTGGAACTTCAGACTTCTTTTGATCCCAGGGCCAGAGACAATGGAGCACACACTTCTTTCCCTCTGTCTAATCCTAGCTGGAGGCTCAGGCTCCAGACCCCAGTGCTCCTGCCAGAGAGGATAGACTGAGGCCAGAGGCAAGCGGGGCGGGTCCCACCCGACTGCCACACAACAGCTGGTCCCCCCCCCCATTGCTGTGCATTCCTTCAGCACTTGCTGAGCAGCCCTACTTTGCGCTCCATTAATTTGCAAGTCTGCTTTGTAAGTGTGCTTTTGTCTTTCCGCCCTGGCCATCCAGACTTCCCCACACAACCTGGCTACAGAGGGCGGGGTGCCCCTCCCAGGAGCCCTGAAATCTTGCACCAAAGAACTCCGGACAGCACAGCTGCCCACCCTACAGGAAAGAGATGCCGGATGGTGCCAGATGCCAAGCCTGGAAGAGCAAGAAGACAACAGAGTCCTCATTTTCTATGTGGGAAACTGAGGCTGGAAAAGCTTCAGTGCCCTGCCTTTCCTGTCACCCAGTCCCTTGGTTTTATAGTGTGAGAGATCAATAAACCTTTGTGTGTACAAACTGGGTCTTATCCATCTTAATATCCCCGAGGGAACCAGGACCGGACTCTTCTCCCTCAAAATCACCCTGGGAACCCCCAGAAAGAATCAACTATTTAGTAAGCTTCATGGAGTACCAGACTACTGACTTATTACCCCACCCTGGGGCTTCCTTGGCACCTGGGATGAGGCAGGCCATGCAGTGCTCTAGACACTAGGCTAGGGAGGGTTCAGAGCCAAAATAATCCCCATGCCACCTCCCATAACTTCTAAAACTAATGTAAACCAACAAAGCAACCCTCCTTCAACGCTTTACAAACTCAGTTCCTATGCAAACTGGGAAGGTGGCATGGGTCATGTTCCTCTCCAGAAAATTCATGGCAAAGGATGAGCCTCTGGCTGGCCTTGGCTGAACCAGCTGTCTACCTGCTCCTGCATGCACCTGTCAGGTACCTGTGAACGGTGCTGGGTGCTGAGGGTGCTCAGACAGAGGAGGGTAGGAGCAGCTCCTGCTGTCTGCAATGGGTTAGCCTAACTTATCCCAACAAGCCACGTTCTCTCAGGCCATAAAACCCAGAGCGAAGGGCTTCTGGGTTCCTAGCTGCTTTGTAACACTTGTCTGGGCAAATGAGACTCCATTCTCCCTCAGCAGCTTTTCCTGAGCCTTAGTTTTCAGCAAATCCTACGCTTGGCTGGCCTTCGCTGGCTTCCAATGTCCTTTGATGCCTGTGTGTATAAGAAAATGTCTCTACCTAATCTGCCAGGTGAGGGCTCTGTCCCACCAGACTTGCACAAGAGACAGGTGACTAACCAGTATTCCGTGAGCACCCTCCATGCTTCCCCACTCCACTGAGGAAAACTGTACCCTCTTCACCTGCTCCTGCTCTACAAGTCTGTACTTGCAGTCACTGGTATTTGGGGACAGCCTCAGCTCAGGAGAGGGCTATATACAAGGCCAGGAATACAAAGGATTGCTCTCCTCAAATCTACTTTTGGTCTTGTTTATTTGTTGTAAGTTTCATGCTAAGTTGACTTTTTTTCTCCTTCCCTTCCCTTTCCTCTCCTCCTCTCCCCTTCCCTTCCTCCTTTCTTAATGTGTTTTTAAGCAAGGTCTCATATTTTAGCCTAGGCTGGAACTCACTATGTAGTCCAGGCTACCTTCAAACTTACAGCAATCCTTCTGCTTCAGCCTTCTGAGTTCCAGATGAACAGTTTTTAATCTCAGTGCTCACACAGGGGCTCTGCCCATTTCTGGGACTGGAGGGCCTCTCTGATGGGCACACAGAACCCTCATCTGTTTGCCCCAAAGGGCATGTTCTCCTTCACGCATGCTGGATCCTAGAGGGTCTCCGCAAGCCAGGTGACCAAGACCCAGGCGTGGCCACCTGCTCACCAGCACACGCATGCACCAGACACGCTCTGTGCCTCCCTCCACCCAGGGCCCTTCCCTGCCCCTCCCCAGACCTTCCAGGCCTCCATATGCAGGTGGACCCTGGTTCTTCCCTCCTTCCCTGTTCAGCCTTTTCCCAGCTGCACTCTAGCCTTCACCATCCTACAAATAAGTACGGAAGCCCTCTATATTATTATTGTAGTGCTCGCTGTATTATGCGAACAGTGACATGACAAACAGTTGTCCTTTGATCTTCCTCTGAGGGAGCCAAGGAGATTATTATTGTTCCAGTTTTTCTTTATTGTAAGTAATTTATTGGCTTTTTTTAAAGACAGGTGGCTTTGAACTCACAGAGATCCATATGCCTCTGTTTCCTAAGTGCTTGGGATAAAGGCACCTGCCACCACTTCCAGCCCACTTCTTTGCTTCTTTGTTCATTTTTTGGAGACAAGTTCTTAACAATGTAGCCCAGGCTGGCTAGAATTCATTGTGTATCCCATGTTATCTCAAACTCATGGCAATTCTGCCTCATCTTCTGAATGACAAGAGTGAGCCACGGTCAGGCTACTGTTGTAGTTGTAAGTAGAGACTCAGTGAGGCTGAACATCTAGGTTTCCTATCTCAGACTATCTCCACAGTAGGCTGGGCCTGCTTACTAACAGCGTGTGTGTGTGCATGCACACACACTTACACTCACAGGGTCACACGGGTTCCTACCAAAAGCACCAGCTATTCTGCCCCCTCCACCAAGGCAGAACCATGCTTATGCACGGGTGCCCTGGAGGCATTGGGCACCAGCCAGTTTGCATGGGAAAAGTCATGAGTTTCAACACCACTGTCCAGTACAGCAGAAGACAGAGTGGGTGCTTTCTAACCCCAGGAACACACCAGGTAGGTTGCCATGGCTCCCCTACCTTTGCCTCCGGTCCCATAGGTCAGTCCCCAGTATCCCCTCTGTTCCCACAGCCTGACTTACTTCTCCAGCATGGACATGACGATCGGGGGAAGCACCAGGATGGGCATAGGCAGGACCACACGTGTCAGTGCTGTCTCCAGCAGGGCCTGAGGATGGGGACAGGCTGGGGTGAGAGGGGGGCTAGGGGCTGGGAACAGCCACCAGGGAAGCAAATCCCACCCGGAATCTGAGGTGTGTGCACTGCTGTTCAGCACATCTGGCAGCCCTGGCTCACAGCAGTGCACACAGAGCTGGATTGCAGATACCAGACAACACTGCCCCACCCTCACCCACAAGTGTTTGAAAAGAGCAGACTCTCTACATGGGGGAGGGGTGGTAGAGGACAGCCTCCCCAGCCTGGGTGAGCAGAGATCCGAGTTGGGAGAACAGAACACAGAGGGCCTAAGATAGTGTCAAAACAGAGCCAGAACAAATTACTGGGCCTACAAAGCCAGGGGGCTCCCAAGCTGGCTGAAGCTGGGGGTTACTTTTTAAAACTGCACCCCTTAAAGACAAACATCTATAAGACCTTTTGTCTTCTGACTCTAAGTCTTTTTTATTTTTCTTTGAATAGCCAAGGCTGGCCCTGAACTATGTAGCTGAGGATTCTCGACCTAGAGTTCTCTTGCCTTCCCCTCCTGCGTGCTGAGATTACATGCCTGAGCCAGCACCCCTGGATTTTGTGTATGCTCGGTAAGGATTCTGTTAACTGAGCTACATCCCCCAGCCCTGATGAGCCTCAGTGAGAAAAGGTCAGCTTTGTAAGAGGCATGAGCTTTGGCTGGTCATTCTCAGGATCCAGTGGGGACGGGGACTCCTGCAGAACCCTGGGAGGCATAGTGTAAGGACTAGCTAAGTGGCAATGTGTGTTTGGACAGACACTACCGAGTCCCTTTGACTAAAGGTTCCTGTCCTTAGAGGAATGTTCAGGAATGGCTCACAGCTCACAGATCTCCAAGTCTCTCCAAGGAGATGTCTCTCAAGCAAGGTTGAAAGAAGTCTGGGGCTACAAGGGAGCTGGGTGACCTACCTAGAGGGCTTTTGGGAAGGGTTGTCACCTCTGTTCTCCTCACAGGGCACTCTGAAAGGATGGGGTTGGGATAGAGTAGGAGCCTGAGGGTAGATTCTCTCTGATGATGGACTGGGGGCTGGTTTCTCCCTGAAACTTGATCCTTCTATAGCCATCTTCAGGAAGGGACAAGAGAGGGTCTTTTCAGGCCCCAGAGCAGCTGGGGGAAGGTGTAAAGGCCTAGAGCCAGGGCAGGAAACAGTGTAGTGCTGGCATGGCATCCATCCCTGGCCCCTTACAGGCTCTAGATGGGCCCTGACTTCCCTGAGCTGGATGAAGAAGGAAGAGAAGATCAGAGGCTTGTCAGTAAGGTCCTGTGTATAGGGTACCATCTCGGTCTCCACGTGATGAGCCACAGAGACTGGAACATTGTGATGTTTTATCCCCTCACAGCTGACCCCTTGTTACATTCCCACAAAGCACAGGCTAGAACCCAGGACAGTAGGACAAATCACCAACCATCATCAACGGAAGCCTGAGGAAGCACAAGACTGTGTGTGTGTGTGTGTGTGTGTGTGTGTGTGTGTGTGTGTGTGTGTGTATGAAAAATACAGTGGGCAGGGCTACTGAAGAGGGCCTTACAAGGAACCATTTGCAGGGGTGACAGCATCCTGACCCCCCAGCACTCACTCTCCAGCAAGATGGCAGCCACATACCACTGACTACAGCTTTCCATTCACAAGCCACGGGGATGTGAAGGCCTAGGGCATGGAGAGAAAGCCCTGGGGAGGCTCCTCTGCCCTCTCCAATTAACACCTCCTCAGAGGAGCTGTGCCCTGAGGGGCTGGGACAAAGAAATGGGGACATTTCACAGTGGAGACTAGAGGAGGGGGGATGCTGAAGAGCAGGGAAGAACTATCCAGAACAAGCCTGACTGAGAACAGACTCTGAGGCCCAGGGCTCACACAGACAGGCACTGGGGACTGGAAGGAGGAGGAGGAGACACCTAAAGAACCAAGCCACGGTTCTGTGACCAGAAGATCTCAAGGAATGCACAGGCTATGTACGAGAACACCAATCCATTCTTGGCAGGGCGTAGCCCTTGGGAAACCCACATGTCTGGCTGCGATCTTTGAGGAGCCCACGAGGTTGCCATCAGCATCCAGGACATCAATCCCTTCCTCTAGCTCCCCATACCGCATCAGGACCACGTTGCAGATATTGGCACTGGCTGGGGAGAGAGGAATACAGAGAGGTGTAGTGAGACATGGATGGCTTCCTACATGGTTCCACCCTCCAGCCCCCAAGAGTTCTGTGAAAGCAGAAAGGTGGAGTAGTCTGCTGTGCTTGTTTTTTTTTTTTTTTTTTTTTTTTTCCTTTTCCCAGACAGGGTTTTTCTGTGTAGCTTCGTAGACCAGGCTGGCCTCACACTCACAGAGGTCCATCTGCCTCTGCCTCCCAAGTGCTGGGATTAAAGGCGTGCGCCACCACCTCCTGACTCTCTGTTGTGCTTTTAACCAAGACCCTTGGACACTCCAGAAGTATAGACCAAAAGTAATAGGTGGAAATGGTGAAGGCTTTGGGGGCTGCCACCTATAGAGGGCGCTGCTCACCTCTTCTGGGGAGGGTCTCTAGGCAGGGAAGCAGATGTGCACCCTGAAAGGTCTCTGTCCCTGAGATGTGTCCCCATGGGGCCTGATGTTCCACCACCAGCAGCTCAGTCCCAGGGGCCCTAATATGCTTTTAAATGCCACTTCCCATATTTAGTCCCTCATGTCTCACTGGAGCAAACCAAGAGATTTCCATCCACAACAGCAGGTGACAGAGCAGACCGCTGGGCTCACCCAGCATCGCCCCCTCATCATATAAACAGAACACAAGCTCAGAGAGCGATGGTGACTTAACTGAGGTCACACGGCAAAGGGGGACAGAGTGGAAAGGCCGTGGTGCCTGAGTGTTAGGTACCCAGAGACGTGGGGGGGGAGGGGCAGGGAGTCAGGGGAGCAAATGGAGAGCAGAGTGTGTCATGTAGCCATACCTCTCCCTTGTCTCAACTGAGCTCCTGGGGACCTATGGCCGAGAAGGTGTCCCTGGATCCTTAGATAAGCTGTAGATGACGGTGGTTGGTACGGCTACCCTGCTCCTTAACTGGGACTCACAGGCCAGGCCCGGGCTCACGGTGCTGTACAGATATAGATCTGGCTTGAAGTCCTCCAGCCCTGCTTCATGATGGAAATGGGGAGACTTGGGGGTGGTAGGTGGGTGGTGGGAAATGTGGGGGGGACAAATGCAGAGCCTGCCTGCTCCACTCCTCCCCCCAAAGCGCCTTGCTGTGTTTAAAGTTTTAATTTTTGCTAATTAATGTCAATTAATTTTGTATAATGAGTGTTTAATTTTGGGGAGTGTGTGAGCCTGGGAGCGACTGCAGTTCTGGGCTGTGAACGCTGATTAGCATCAACACCTGCTGCTTCCCCCTCTCCAGTGGGGGGGCACCCGGGTTTGGGGAGCTGGAGGGTGGTGGGGGCTCAGTGGGCACGTGGAGTGGGAGGGAGTCCACAGATGCTCCCGGGACCTAAGCCAATGGCGGGGGAGCCCAGCAGTGCAGGGTGCTCACAGCTGGGGCCAGGGTTCTGCAGGTGAGGGCTGGTGTGGGACCAGGATCTCTAGCCTCATTCTCCTCCTGCGATCGAGCAGGGAGGTGGAATACGCGGAGGCAAAGACCAGGAGGCACTGCAGTCTTTGGAGAGGGAGAGCGGGAGAGCAAGCAAGCTCTGAAATGTATTTCGAGCACATATGCTATCTTTGAGCGTCTCCACTGTTTCTACACGATGCTCATCAACGCTCACCACGGCAGACCTTCTGCGGCAAGAACTCAAGCCTCACGGCTCCTGTCCCCACAATAGGCACGTTTACCTGTCTAAGCAGTGTCTTTCAATCAGGGGCAACGTAGGGAGACTTTTTTTTAATTATTGTGGTTTGGGGGTTGGGGTGGGGGTGTTACGGGCACATGGCTGGTAGAGACCGCTGAGGCTTTGAGACACAGTTTCTGTGGAGCTACACTAGAATGCAGTTCCTACAACAAGCTATTACCCGGCCCCAAATGTCAGTAACGTTCTGATAGAGACACTCACACCCTGGTTTGAGACAGGGTCTCCCCATGTGGCCCAGGCCATCCTCAAACTGTCAGTTCTCTTACCTCGGCTTCCCAAGTGCAGGTCCCCAATGTCTGAGAACACCTGAACCCCATCCAAAGACAATTAGGAAGGTGTTCTGAGGTAAAGACTTGGGACAGCCAGGAAAGCCATGGAAGATGGGCATGGTGCCTGAGTTTGGGAACATCCAAGCTTGGGGTTCATTCATGGCTTTGTTTCTCTCTCTGCTCACTCCCAAAGGTGAGCTCCTAATAGACACAGAATGCCCAGGACCCAAATAGGCCTCTTAGGGTGGTCTTCGGAAGCCGCTCCTGGCCTCTGTTGAGGTCAGGCCCTCTGTGGCCACGGGGATACTCCGAAACCCCTTTGGCCCTTGGGTTGCCAGGTCTTGAGTTCTCAGAAGACATGAGAACATCACTGAGTGGGAAAGTGGGCTTTTCTGCCTGAGAGGATCAACTCTTACCCTCAAGTATACCTTTTACCTCTGCAAACACCACTGTTCCTGTCCCCAACCTTGAGACAGTGAGCACTGTCCCCCCTGCTGGGCATTCTCAGTACTGCACTTGGGGCCTGCAGGAAACTCTCAGGCCCCAGGCAACATTCACACTGAATGCCAGCCTCTGCATCCACCAGGGAGGCCTATGAGAGAGGGTAGGCAGGCAGGCCTCGAAGTAGTGGTGGGCCAGCCCCTGGAGCAGGGGTGAACTCACTTTCTCGCCACAGTTTCCAGATGTGGGTGTAAGGACAGCAGTACAGGGAAGGACCTTACCTCAAACACAGAATCCAAGTGAGACCAAAAAAAAAAAAAAAAAAGGCATGACTAGGAGTGATGATGTGGACCTGAGGTGTTAGCACTCCAGAGGGAAGAAGAGGCAGGAGGATTGTAAATTCAAATTCATCCTCAGCTACAAAGTGAGTTCCAAGTCAGCCTGGGCCCCCACCCTAATCACAAAATAAAGTGAAACTCCTTTTGTCCCCTCAGCCTCTCCAGGATGCCACTGCAAACAAAAGCTGCCCGGATGGAAAAAAAAAGACGCCCAATATCAAAGTAAGAGCAGACACCAGCCCCAGCCAGGGCCAGCGTTCTCTGAGGTAGCTGGCTGTGCAGGTGGCAGGTGCCTTGCAATCTTTCCTGTGGACCCAACTGTAGCTGTCTAGGTACAACCAGCCCTTGTAGTAATTGTCCCCAGCAACAAGCAAGGACGAATGCCCCATGCAGGGACGGCACATTTACCACCTCATTGGGCTGCTTGATTCTGCCATTCCCCAGACCTTCCTAGGTCTCTCTTATACCACTCCTGAGAGGAGAGGAGAGAGAGAGAAAGAGAGAGAGAGAGAGAGAGAGCCAGAGACACAGAGACAGAGAGAGAGGAGAGAGAGAGGAGTCAGAGACACAGAGACAGAGACACAGATACAGAGACAGAGACACAGACACAGAGACAGACAGAGAGGAGAGAGAGACAGAGACACAGAGACAGACAGAGAGGAGAGAGAGACAGAGACAGAGAGACAGAGAGAGAGTCAGAGACACAGAGAGAGAGGAAGAGAGAGAGAGAGTCAGAGACACAGAGAGAGAGGAAGAGAGAGAGAGAGAGTCAGAGACACAGAGACAGAGAGAGAGGAAGAGTCAGAGAGAAAGTCAGAGACACAGAGACAAACAGAGAGGAGAGAGAGACAGAGACAGAGAGACAGAGAGAATATGCATGGGTCTCCCTCTTGACACACCAACAGATCTACCATCGACAATATCAGCAGGTTAATTAAGCAGTCTATTAGCGATAATGTTACAAAAACTGGCACATTTTCAACTCAGATCGACACCATTCAAGACTCAGGCATGACTGACATTGGAGCAGCAATACTAGGAGACATCCTGAAATGGGGGGAGGGCAAAAACACGCTCTTGCCTGCTGCAGATGTTCCTTCATGGAGCCACGGCCATGCAAACCCGTGCAGATGGGGAAGAGCTGATTAAGCAGCATCCAGAGGAAAGGGACAGTGTGAGAAACAGAAAGGGAGGGAAAGTATGAGCCCACCTCTGAGCCTGCAGGGACAGACAGGAGATCAGCGGGCCTTGGGCAAGCAGCACACACCTGTGTAAGAAACGGACTGTTGGGAAGGCAGGTGCACCAACCCACACAGGAGGAGGACTGCCCGGACACTCACGAAAGCCTAGGCCACCGACTTGGGGAAAATGTGATCCCATAACTCTTCAACTCTGAGATGCATTTTTTCAACATCTTAATATCCTAAAAATTGTGACGTGTGAGGCTGGGAAGATGGTGCAGTTCATATCGTGCTTGCTGTGCAAATACAAGGACCTGACTTCAATCCCCAGAACCCATGTAAAAAGCTAGGTGTGGTGGTACATGCCCAAAATCCCAGTGCTGGGGAGGCGGAAACAGGAGAATGCCTAAGGAAGGCTGGCTGGCCAGCCTCATTAGCCTACTAGACAAGCACTAGGTGTCAGTGAGGGACCTGATTCAAAAAGCAAGGGATGGGCAAGTGAGATAGTTCAGAGGGTAAAGGCACTTGCCACCAAAGCTGACAACCTGAGTTCTGTCCCCTGTCCTACAAGTTGTCCACTGACTTCCCCACACAGGTGCAATGGCACATGAGTGTACAACACGCATGCACACACACACAACACACAATCATAATGGCTGTCAGGGTGCAAGGGAACTTTACCTGCTACCCAAGACAACTGACAGGGCCCATGTGAATTTAACCACGGGTAGAAAGATCACTTCATTCAGTTGTCACCTCAGCCGACCACAGCAATCCACACAGAACTTGCGCTCAAACTTAGACTCCTAATTGTTGCCTGAAACATCTTTTTTAAAACTTACACTATAATGGTGCACGGACACGAAAAGTTATTGTACATGCAGAAGATCGTCTGCCAGATACCAGGCAATGCAATTAAAGGCAGTAGAAATTGCCAAACCATAGATAGCTACCCTAAAGAAATGCTCGCCCATATGCACAAAGAGACATTTACAAGGGTGCTAATTATAGCGCTGTTTGTAAGGAGCAAATAATTAGAAACAAGCTAAATGTCCACCATTAGGGGGAACTC